CACGTTTGTAGCAGAGATTTGTCTAGCACCTTTTTGCCTGCCAACCCATATCATTGTGGGAAGGAGTTATCTTGGTGTAAAAACGAGGCAACGTTTTGCACAACACGAGCTGTGGCCCAACTGATGTGTAAATTTGAAAGCAAGTGCAAAAGTCCGAATAGCACTTGCGAAAATGCAGGGGATTCGCGCCAGCTAGTTGCCGTCACGAAGTTTTCCTTCTCTGAATTTGGTATTTATCATGTGTGATTTGAGGGGCGGCAAAGTCGTGTGGTTGAATGGTGAAGAAAATAAAGTAATGAGTTCCTATTTAAAATCGTTGAAGATTCTAATGACATGACTGATAGGATTCGATTGGACTTACAGTATGGGGAAGTAATCAAGAGCCAACCAAGAATAAAAAATAACCTAGATTTTCTACATTAGAAAAATTCTGTAGAGGTATAAGGTAGTGCAAAGTCACCGACAATTGTTGGTTACAAGTGAAAAAAACTTAATTTTTCTTAAATAAAATATTAAGCTTAAATTTTGTAATGGAAAGACAAACATTGTAACAGATTTTTTTTATAAAATCTAATATAACTTAATTTTGAATTATTTAAAATTTAATGTAATTTCAAGATACCAAAAGTTTAGTATCAAAAACCAAAAAAATAATAATAATAATGCAAGGTTCTGTTCAAAATTAATGTGAATGTTGTAACTGTGGTTAATTATTGGGGTATTTTATTATTTTAAAAATTGTATTATTATTTAATAATTACTTTAAAAAAATTTAATACATTAATATACTATTAAATTATATTACATATCTATTAAAATTAATGTATTAATAATAATTAACACTTTTATTAAAGTGTTATGTGAAAAGGCCGGGTGAGGCCAACGCGAAACGCAACGCAACGCAAGTCACGAACATGTACTGGATGAAAAATCCTGACCATGTATTGTGGCCCCAGCAAAATTAATGTAGAATCGCGGCCATACTAGAGAATATCATGTACTCCATCCTTACCAAACCTTATTTGGAGGTATGAGAGTTAATATGGTGCCGGAATGTTGTGTCAGTTATTGTATCCAATTTTTTTTTGAGGTGTTTTTTATTTTATATTTCGGTACCTTGTACTCTAATGTGTTATTAATAGTAGTAAATGAGAATAATAATTTGTTAGATTAACTCTTTAAGAGGTATGG